TGTGTGTGTGTGTGTGTGTGTGTGTGTATGTATGAGTGTTTTAGCTTAGCTTTGATGTAATCTAGGATAGCCAATAAAATTCATGTTTCATTTATAAAGAATCATTGTTGGTGTCATATAATTTCAAGGTTAAAACTGTTGCCAAAAAGATCCCTTGCTTGCTGCCTAGCTCATAGCTTTCTCATAATAATTACCTCTCTAAGAGCTTACAAATTATCATAATTGTGTTGACCGTGGCCAGGAAAACACATATTTAATTTGTTAAAATATACTAAGAATCACTGGCTTGCTGGACGACCCTTGATTTAAAGTGTAAGCTATCAAATTTAGAATCAGTTCTAATCAGGTTGAATTAGGCTCTTCAGATCCTAGTCCTCTCAAAACCTGAATTAATAATAATAATTAATTCCCTTATACAATTAATGAGTTAATTTCATAACAAAGCTATAAAAGCACGTGCGGTGAGACCAGCGTCAGCTTATAGGAGTGAAGCAAGCGCTGGCAGAGATGCTGAAAGTATGGCCCCGTGACGCAGCGTCTCATGGGAAACCATGAGGAACTATGGTTACATACGTAATCTGAGACGTTCCTCTTCAGGAACTCGAGCTGCGTCGGAGGACGCTTCGGGAACGAGAATGCTCATGCCGCCAGAAATCTCGCCTAGTGTGGAAGGGTGCACAGCTTAGGCGTGAGAACAGAGGAGCCAGGAGTGGCTCGCATATCTAGGCCATAGAACCTGACGAAGGTTAGGGGCGTGGACCATCCCGCAGCGTCGCAGATGTCCTGCATCGAGACACCTGCCAAGAAGGCCTTAGAGGCCGCCACACTTCTGGTAGAGTGAGCCTTAACCCCAAGAGGCGAAGGGAGATCAGAGAACTCATAGGCAATAGAAATGGCATCTACTATCCACTGACTGAGGGTCTGTTTTGTAGCTGGAAGACCTCTCTTAGGGGGACCGTAGCATACGAGCAGTTGGTCCGCCCCTCTCCACAGGGCAGTTCTGTGGACGTATGCGTCCAGTGCTCACACTGGACACATAGAGTTTAGCTTCTGCTGGTCTGGATCCCCGAAGGGAGGAGGACTGAGGGCCTGGAGCACGACAGGCTGTGGTGTAGAGGAGGGGACCTTAGGAACATACCCTGCTTGAGGGAACAGAAATGCTTTGGCCAGACCGGGCGCAAAGTCAAGATAAGAAGTGGCCACTGAAAGGGCCTGCAGATCCCCAACTCTCCTGAGAAAAGATATCGCCAGAAGGAAGGTAGTCTTGATAGTAAGGTGGCGATCAGAGAGTTGAGGGAGCGCTGACTTGGAGGAGGGTCTCAACAACCCTCAGGGGCCACACCCACAACTTCCACAGCTCCAGGCGGGGGTGGATGATCGTACCCTCCGCCTGTGAGAGTAGATCTCTCCTGACGGGAATCTCCCATGGAGCGCCGTCGAGGAGAGAAATCAGGTCCGAGAACCATACTCTGCCCGGCCAGAATGGGGCTACTAGCAGAAGACAGACCCCGTCCCGGCGCACTCTCTCCAGAACTCCCGGGAGCAGAGCGATCGGGGGAAAGGCATACAGACGAAGCCTCGGCCACGTCTATACCATGGCATCCAGCCCCAGTGGAGCTGGATGACCCAGAGAGAACCAGAGGGGACAGTGCTATGTCATCTGAGTCGCAAACAGGTCCACCTGGGCCTGGCCAAAAACTCTCCATATCTGCTTCACCACCCTGGGGTGAAGCATTCATTTCCCGGGCCTCGGCCCCTGCCTCGACAGGATGTCTGCTCCCAAATTGAGATGCCCAGGAATGTAAACTGCTCTCAGCGAGAGAAGTTTGCCCTGGGACCACACAAGGATCTGGTACGCTAGTTTGTACAAACGGCATGAGCGCAGACCTCCCTGGTGGTTGATGTAAGAGACTGCGCACATGGTGACCTCTTAGGTCTGGGAGAAAGTGTCTTAGTGCATGAAGTACGGCCATCATCTCCAGGCAGTTTATATGCCACGTCAGATGGCGACCACTCCACAGACCGTGGGCAGGGTGGCCACTCATGACCACACCCCAACCAGTGAGGGACACGTCCGTCGCTAGCATTACGCGGCGACAAGGAGCTCCCAGCACCGGGCCCTGAGACAAGAACCAAGGTTTCCTCCACATGTCCAAGGCACGTAGGCATCGCCGCGTGACCTTGATCATGCGAAGCGGGTTTCCCCTCGGGGAGAACCCCCTGGTCTTTAGCCACCACTGTAGGGGCCTTATGTACAGCAAGCCAAGAGGTATCACATTGGATGCAGCTGCCATCAGACCCAGCAGTCTCTGAAACTGCTTGACAGTGAGTGACCGGCCTTCTCTTACTCACGCGACTGTGGTAAGGATCGACTCGATCCGAGCAGGGGACATACGTGCCTGCATCGTGGTCGAATCCCACACCATGCCTAGATAAGTGGTCCTCTGTAATGGAGAAAGCACACTCTACTTGGCGTTTAGTCTTAACCCCAGCTCTCTCATGTGGGCAAGAATGACATCTCGATGTCGAACCACCATCTGCTCTGATTGAGCTAAAATGAACCAATTGTCGATATAGTTTAGTATGCGGATGCCCTGGAGTCGCAACGGAGCCAGGGCTGCATCCACACACTTCGTGAAAGTGCGGGGTGAGAGTGCAAGGCCGAAAGGAAGAACACGATATTGGTACGCTTTGCCCCCAAAAGCAAACCTCAGGAACTTCCTGTGAGTGGGAAGGATGGATACATGGAAGTATGCGTCCTTTAGATCGATCGTGACAAACCAGTCCTTGGACCTGATCTGAGACACGACTTGCTTGAGAGGGAGCATCCTGAACTTCAGTCACATGACTGAGCGGTTCAACTGACGCAGATCTAAAATGGGACGCAACCCTCCATCCTTCTTCGGAACTATGAAGTACCGGCTGTAGAACCCGGACTGTCTTGCATGAGGAGGGACCACCTCGATGGCCTCCTTCCTCAAAAGAGTAACTACTTCTTGTTCCATGACCAGAGCCTGCTCGGGGGCCCATCAGCGTGGGTGTAATCCCGTTGAAACGAGGCGGAGGAGAACCAAACTGGATTCTGTAGCCCTTCTCTACAGTGCGCAAGACCCACTGAGACACATTTGGCAGTAGTTTCCATGCAAAATGGAGGATAAAAAAATCAATGTGAAACACTGTAATAGATTCTTCAGTCAATTATTGACAAGACTATTGTGTTTTGAGGTCCCATGTCAACACTAACCTGAAATCAATATGTTTCTATTTTTCGGGTTTTTTCAACTGTAAACAAATATACAAAAAGACATGAAGCAATTTGATATTCTGAAAAGATTTAGTAAGTATGGATTTTCTGTCTTGTTTTATGTGACTACTTTGTGTCAGTGAATTTGAGGTGGATCAGCCGTGCATCCTCAGTAAAGATTGCAGTTATA